TGCATATAGACTTTATCTTTCTTTTTGTGTTGTGTCACAGCCATTTCCAAATTCATTCCTCTTTTTTGGGCGGGGGAGGGGGGAGCTAGCTGGATAACAATGCAATTTTTTATGGGCACTCACTTGGGCATCTTTACAAAATGTCATCAGCTTAGCCCTTTGGAATATTCTGAAATAAGTTCCTTGATCGTTGTGAATGTTTAGGAAATGAGACGTACATGTTATTTTCAAACCATGGTACTTCCACAAACATTTTCAGAACTTATTGTGTGCAACATTTGGGGCCTGTTGCCTTCATATAAAGAGCCTTTGGGTTTCATTCACTTGTTCATAACTGTTTTAGTGACAGTTTTGAAACTTCATTTGCTGGTCCTATATTGTGTAGGTCCCTAAATCCAAATAGATTTTGTAAGAAATATGGATTTGAAAGAAAGACTTGTCGACTGCTGTGTGTCACTGCATCCTTGAAGCCACGACACTGTCCTGGCTTGGAAGAGAATGGCCAAGCTGTCCAGAGCAGTGTTTTTCTTGGTCTTGCTGTTAACACCTTTGATGTTGTTAGTAATCGGGCGCCAGTGCGAGACTAGGATTTTGTTTGTGTTATTTTTGGTTTGGGGCCATAGTGGTTGTGCTCTCACTCCTGGATTTCTACTCAGGAATCACTACTTGCACTGCTGGAGGATAGAACCGGATTAACTGAATGCAAAGAAAGCACCCTACCCACTGTACTATCTCTCCATCCCAAGACTAGGTTTTATGTCACATGCATTCACACTTAAGCCATTCTAAATGTGATCCAATGCTCTGTCCAACAGCAAGATGGAGAAGTTTTCCTACTCTTGACTGTGCAAATGGCCTCATGTGATCCAATGCTCTATCCAACAGCAAGATGGAGAAGTTTTCCTACTCTTGACTGTGAAAATGGCCTCATGAATGTGTGTGGCAGCTAAGGTTCTCCTCTCCCACTTCAGCCCTCATTGAGTGAATGGGATCTTCAGTTTGTGAAAGACTAACTGATCTTAGACCTGTGTGATTAAATACCAGCTGTTCTGGTGTAATCAGTAGCATAAGCCTTCCTACCTCTTCCTTTGTTCTGTCAAGAGCCTTTGTGTACTAATAAAATCTTGAGTTAGGAAGTACTCAGCATTCCTCTGGGTAGGATAGGGAGACAAAAATTGGTGAGAACCCCTCTCTCGTTTCAAAGGAACTTTTTAATAGCCTTGCTTGATTGAATCCTTATTGACCTCACTCTTACGGCATAGAACAAACCGCCGCACTCTGACTCCTGCTGCCCTCCCCCTCTCTGGGTCATTTGGAGGGCTGATTTCCCTTCTGAAATGTCCTTTCTCCTTTCCCTGTCCTCTTCCTCCCAGACACCCACCACCACTAACCCAAGCTATTTTATCTGAGGAATCATCTTCCCATTACTTGCACAGAAATCTATGCAAGTAAGCATAGATTTAAGCAATGTTCCGAATGGTAGCTTGGGCAATCCAAGTGGATGGTGGGGCACCACAGAGTTTTAATTGCTCCGTTTAAAGAATTTCAGTTGAGATTTTTCAGTATCTGTCTAAGATTATTTTTTTTTACAAAACTGAAATAATTTCTTAACATCTTAAATATCTTACCATAAATTTTAATATTTGACTAAAATTAAAAAAGCTAGAATGTCTTCCATAAAGATGTTTTCCTTTTGTGGAGTAGTAGAAGCATAACAAAGCTTTTGACATTAAGCAAAATGGGAAGAAATAACTTGCCAGATACGTGTTTCTGGAATAGACTGAACCATATAAGCTGACTTTCCAACCTTGCATTGTTAGCAGACTGAAGTTTCTGGATGTGTTCATCCACAAATGGTTTCTTAAGATGTATGTCTTTGCTTCAGAAGGTTATTAGCAAGTTTTAACCAGGAATGATACCAATAGGTGTGTTCTTCAATGACACCCAGAGGTATTTGCTTCCAAAACAGTTGAAATACAGCCTGTTAAGAGAACAGTCAGTTCCATGGGAATTTCCCCAGTAAGGTCTGTAGAGAAAAATGACTCGTGACTTGTTTAAAGACTATCTTTCCAGAGGCTCTTAGCATAACCCAGAATCTCAGATTTGGTGGCACATTTCTCCACCAAAGGAATAAATTGTTTCCAGGCAGAATCTGTTTACACTAGGGGATGGGGTACTTTTTCCCAAGCAAAAAACTAAAAACAACTGAGTTCTCCTTCCAAAATGAGGAACTGAAATACTTCATTTATTCTGTCTTCCTGAACAGGTCACTTAAGTGTTTTTAAATTGACTGTTTAATGTTAAAACATGTACTCTCTGTAGCATTTTACTATCATGGCAAATTAGAAATCCATGCTTTTATACAACTTCAAAGCTGCCATTGGTAAATGTCCTTTATGTTTTTCTGTGCATATGTTTGGTGCATGTTTCTGCTTTCAATGTCAGATTGCCAACATAGTGTTCTTGGGTCCCCATGGAAATGACCAGATTTCTTAGTTAGCATCCATCCAGAGGTGATCAGAGAGCCTGCCCCTCTGAAAACCTTCTTTTTTTTTGTCACTCTCTGTACAAATGTGCACCATTTCTCTATTTTTTTTTCCTGTTTGGGTCACACCCAGCAATGCGCAGGGGTTAGTCTTGGCTCATGCACTCAGGAATTACTCCTCAAGGTGTTCAGGGGCCATATGGATGCTGAGAATCGAACCCGGGTTGGCTGCATGCAAGGCAAATGCCCTACCCTCTGTGCTAGCACTCCAGCCCCCATTTTCTTACTTTTGATTGTGGAACAGTTAGATCTCTTCATAGTTTCTCCTCCTTAGCCTGACAAAAGAGAAAGCCTTCCCTTCATCGTATTAGACCTCTTACTTTCCAGGGTAAGCTTGCCCTTTTCCAGTTCCTCTTCTTTTCTTGTCTCAATCAGGTAATTTCAAAAGACATCTGGTAAATTTGTAGACTCTTTGGATTATCACAACTAAGGAGTGTGTACTCTGGCACCTTACTGGTAGAGGCCAGGATGCTGCCAAGAACAGGACAGTTCCCCACAGCTGAGAATTATCTGAGGGAAGTGTTCCTGGTGCCAAGGTTGAAGAACTCTGCACTACTGAAACGAGCCCTCCACCCCGCCAATTTAGAATCACTCAGCTCCCGGGGCCCTGCTGCTCCCCACTCTGCACATTTCCTGTGTTTCTTGGGGTACCGTAAAGCTGCTGGAGAATGAATCTAATTTTCTGTCTACTTTGATTCTCTCCTGCAAAGTTTCTTCCCATTAGCATTGATATTTCAGAGGAATATGTCTAAATCTAATTATTTGCCCCCTGGAAGCTATCTTCTTTTCTTCTTTTCAGGTTCATTTTTCTAACTCGGTTCCTGGAAAACAAACTCTTACTTAAAAAGTTTGCGGTTTCTTCCTAGCTGTGGGGCCTTTGCACGCTGATTAACTTTTCCTAGTTGCACCAATTTTCTCTTCTGAATCATGCAGATTAAAAAAAATACTTTATCATATAGCAGTATTTTACAGGAGTGTTATATATGGTTGATGTTACTTATTAATACTAATATGTTAGTGTTTTATATATACGTTTATCACCTATATGAGTATATATGCTCACAGTTCTTAGTCCTGTCATATATTTTATTTTCTAAGTATTTCATTCTATTTAGGGAAATTCGGAGAGAGGACAGATCCTGGAACTGGGTTACTGGGTACCCAAGATTTCCAAATTCTACTATCTACCTATTATGCAACATGATCATTATGGCATTTTAGAGAATTAAGCCCTTTAAAAATCTTAATTCTTTAATAAAGTTAGATTATTCAACAAGCAAGTGTGTCAATTGGTGAACTCCCAAATTTGGGCACATAGCAAGTACTGAGTTGGTTTGGATGTAAAAATTTTTATCTACCTGGCCTGTGGGTAACATCTAAATTTCATAAAAAGAGATGAATAAGATGTTTACAGTGGCATCTAAAAAACACTCCATTGCTGATATTAAACCAGGTCTTGATGCCTCCAAGTGAAAACTAGACTCTTTGTAAAAGGCAGCTGATGTGAATTAGACAATTCTGTTAGTGCTCTGTCTTAGGAATTATTACATTCATTATAGAGTCATCCTTAAAAATAAAAAAGTGGAAAATATAAAATTACAACTTGAAAAGTCTAGTTGAATTTTCTAGATGTTTCCCATTGGGTTATTTGCATCCCTACTATTTACAGAACCAGAAGTTCAAGTAGTTGTGGGGCTGTAGAGATAGTTCAACAGGAAGAGTGATTGCCTTGCCCACAACTGACTCAGGTTTGATCCTGGGCACCACATATGGTCCTTCGAGTTTAGTAGTAGTGATCCCTGAGCTAAGAGCCAGGACTAAGCCCTAATCACTCCTAGGTGAGGCCTCCAAACAGAAAACACAAGACAAAACACAAAAACAAAACAAAAACTTACATAGTTGCAGATGAGACAATGAGTAGAAACAGTTTTCTAAAATTTTGAACATTGTATGACTGAAACCCAATTACAAACAACTTTGAACCTCACCGTGATTCAATTAAAAAGATTGAAAACAAAGTAAAATTTAGAGCTAAATCATTATGAATCGATTTTGTATCTACAGTATAATTTTCTTCGGATTGATTTATATTTCCAATGTAGCAAAATTTAAAGTGAATAATAATTGAGCACTTGGAAAGGTCTGATGTCTAAAAGTCAAATTAACAAAATAGATGAATATATTCTTGTTCATTCCCTTTTATAGCCCTACAAAAAAAACTGTTAATCTTTATAAGAAATCTACATTTCAAGTAGGATGAGTGTTTGATTGATTTGTTGATTTCATTTAATTCATTTGGAGAAAATAGAAAGAAGAGGCATTAGAGTCACAAAAGCTGCCACTGCAAGCTCCCCTCCCACTTTGATGAATGTTTCTGAAACATTGTTTTACATTCTGAATGAAGTAGATCTCAGTTCTGTGCTTTGCAAATTAATATTACATTTCTATTTTTTAGATGCTGTAATGTCCAATGGTCATGCCACAGACTACTTGTTTGTTGGAAATATTGTTTATACAGTAAGTTTATCTCCCTGTTTAGCAAGCCTTTTGATTTTTCCAATACCAGGGGATCATAGAACCCAGAGCCTCATACATTTGAGCTCAGAGCTCCACTGTTGAGCCAAGTTTCCAGCCCTGGTGAACCGTTTCTAAATGCATGTCTCTAAGACCGTTATAAAGGGCCTTCCTTATTGTTATTTATTTCAATAAATGGTACATTTAGATTTATTTCAATACGTTAATGCTTTTTATTTTTTGTTTGGAGTCACTCTTGGCTTACTCCTGGCTCTGAACTCAGGGAGCACTCCTGGTGGAACTAAGGGGCCTATGTGGTACCAAGGATTGAACCTGGGTCAGCCACATGCAAGGCAATTACCCCATCCATATCTCTAGCCCCCAACGTTATGTATTTTAGATATTAATTCCATAAATACTCTTAGTAATTGTGAAATGCTTACCTTCATTTTTAATAAATACAATGCAGAATCAGGATTTCTGAACAAGGATTAGCAAATTTCCCTGTCAAATAACCACTGACACATTTTCCTGTGAAAAAAATTCCACCAAGGGAAGTGATTTCTCCTCAGTCCTCCAAGCGTAGTATAGGGCAAAAATAACAATTACTTGTGTCAAAAATAACAATTCTAGAATTGTTCTAGACATACATTAGAATTAGGCTTTAAAAAAAACAAAAAGGAAACCTGCCTGAATGTTTCTAAAAATGACATTTATAGAATTAGCTATCAAAAAGGCAGCTTCCAAGTCTTCCAAAACTAGGAGGTCAGGATGGGGGGATTGGGATTTCTCACAAGCACAGAAATAGCTCACTGAGATCTCTCTGTTTCCCCAAACTCCATCTTTTCACAGTATGTTGTTGTCACTGTCTGTCTGAAGGCTGGTTTGGAAACTACAGCATGGACTAAAGTAAGTATTCTATAGAATTGTTTCTCCTCTGTAAATGTTTCTATAGTATGATGGCTTCTTCTTAAAATTGATGAAGCTTTGCATTGGAATATCTAACTTTCAGGCATACAGCAGTTTGCCTTTGGGAAAATAATCAGTAACATCTAGCTCTTTCATTTTAAATTTTGCATATGAAAATAGTGGTTTGATTTTTATCAGAGCAAATTTGCAAGCCAAAGTTTCTTGATGGTTCATTTGCTTGCACTTAATACAGCTTAAGCTACTGAAAATTATCTCCTTTCAAATGTATAAATGCATGGTAAAAAATGTGCATGCACACACCTGTAAAATATGAAAGACTAAAGGTAAAGGTAAAGGCCCTCCCGTTGATCGTCGATTTGCTCGAGCGGGCCCAGTAACATCTCCATTGGAGACTTTGTTGTTACTGTGTCTGGCATATCGAATACTCTCAGTAGCTTGCCGGGCTCTCCGAGAGGGGTGGAGGAATCGAACTCGGGTCGGCCATGTTGGCCGCTTGTAAGGCTAACGCCCTACCCGCTGTGCTATCGCTCCAGCCCCTAAAAAATGAAAAATTTTAACTTCCATTTGCCATCCAGAGATGGTTACTCTTAACAGTTGACTTCACAACCTTCCACCCAATAATATAGGACATTACAAAACAGCTGATTTTGTAACCTTTTTCCACTTAATGATATTTTATGAATATTTTATACACCCTAAAATATACTTCTACAAAGTCATTATCCACGAAGAATATTTTATTTTATGGTCATCACATCATTTATTCAGCCCTCAATTTTAACAACCTAGGTTATTTGGGGATTATGGCCAGTGCTTCATGCTTTTGTACAATTTCATGTTCATTTAAGAGTTTTTGATTTAAACACTTTTACCTAATTTTGTGCTGAGAAATGGCAGAGGAAGAGATTGGGGAATGTGTAATACTGAGTATAGGTGAGCTGGACCTTAGCCTAGGAAGTCAGAAATGAGGGAGTGAGAGGAGGTCCTAATGAGGAAAATTGACCCCTGTCCCCACATTTCAAACAGCCTAACTAAAGGATAACACCAGAGAATAGGACTTGCCAAGGGTATCTATCTGAGTCAGGAAGACATGACATAACCATGGATTGCATTTGGTATGTTCTTGATATGGTCACAGTCTTCTCACTTTGTAACCTTGGTAACCTGGGAATGTCCTCCAACTATGCTCTTGTCCTTGAGGTGGCCCACACTTTGCTTTGCAGAACAACATGCTTGGGAATTTCTGTATCTATACTCTCCTGCCAGCTGCCTGCAAATGGCCCATCCCTTATCAGATATTCTACAAAATGGTGCTCTATTTTCCTCTAGGCCCAGCTTTGGAGCACTAGCTCAACTGGGTCCACTAACATAACTAAAACAATGTTTTCCTACTTCTCAAGATGTGCTGCATGGTTTTTCATTGACTTTGCTAGAAATTTTCAGCAAGAGCTCAAAAGTGGATTTTTAGAAAACATAACAAGCTTTATGGATTGGATAGTAGGGCATAAAAGGAAGAAATCAGGGACTGTCATATTAGGAGGATAAATGAGATAATTTTAATATTTCTATAGTTACTTAAAAGATTATTAACATGTAATACTCATTCTAATTTTCTTTTGGAGGCGTGGGTTTGGGGGCCACATCTGGCGATGCTTAGGGCTTACTTCTGACTCTGTGCTTAGGGAACACTCCCGGCATTGGTGGTTCCAGGGATCAAACCAGGGGCAGCCACAGGCAAGGCCAGGGCCTTACCTGTTATACTATTTTCCCCAGCCCTCCAGTCTAGATTTTTCTAAGTTTTTTTTAGAAAACATAACTGGAACTCTCAAAACAAAAGCTAAAAGCATCTTGTTGATTCAGAACATCTGTTTTATTTCTATCTTACAAAGTAATGATGACAATCCTTGTTTTATACGGCTCCACGATGGAGCAGATGCTTTTAAGATGTTACAGGAAACCTGCTAAAACCCTGGGCTGGCCCTGAAGCAGGATCCTTTCTGGAGACTGCTTCACCTCAGAGCCCTTTGTGGCCGCTATCGGAATTTCTTTCTTCTTCTTTTTTTTTTCTTTTTGGGTTACACCCAGTGATGCACAGGGGTTACTCCTGGCTCATGCACTCAGGAATTACTCCTCGCGATACTCCGGGGACTATATGGGATGCTGGGAATCAAACCCAGGATGGCCGTGTGCAACGCAAACGTCCTGCCAGCTATGCTATTGCTACAGTCCCCTGCTATCAGATTTTCTCATTAAAGCTTCTAAGGCAGAAATCGAGAGACTAAACTATGGTTTTCTGAACCCTAATGGATGGAGACTCGTAGCACTCCTTTCAGAAAGAAAGGTAGCTTGGGACTAGGGAGATAGTTCAAAGGGCTGGAGGTGATGCTTTGCAGCCCCTGCAGCACAGCATGGTGGTCCTTGGGCACCACCAGGAGCCTTCAGAGCACTTCCTCCAGAATGAAGAAAGAAAGCCTGGACACAAGGACTGCTTGGGCACAGGTGACATTCGGGTGACAGTCCCAGGCCAGCAGTAAAGACCTGCTTGAATCTGTCTTTTCCTTTCTCCTTCCAGTTCAGTCACCTGGCCGTGTGGGGGAGCATGCTGATCTGGCTACTGTTTTTCACTGTCTACTCAACCATCTGGCCCACGATTCCCATCGCTCCAGATATGAAAGGACAGGTCAGTACAACTGTGAGTGGGCATCCCGTCCCATGTCTCATGACAATGGCGGACTTCAAGGAGTGGACACTGTGGCCTGCTGCTTTCAGAGCTCAGCAGGGGTGGGGAAACACACCTAAGCAGAGCAAAGCAGAGTAAATGGGCAGAGGCCACCCAATTCCCGGACGTGGCGATAGTAAGTTTAACTCTGGTGAAAATGTTTGACCTGAGGCCTCTGACCTTCCCCAGCATCCATGGTTCCATGATGAATTACTCTTAATTCTTGGCTGTTTATGTCTCCGGGAAAACTGGAATTATTTTGAGTGCTTCACATTCTGGTGATTAAGTGACCAGAGTCATGATGTTAGTTGCGCTATTTCTGCTTCGTTCATAGCCACCTGTGAAAGATAACTCTAATCACTCTACTCACCGGATCATTCATTTATGGGAATATCTCGTTGTTCTTTTCTCAGACAAAAAAACTGAGATTTGGGACCTCTATTCTAGTTTGTACCTTTTCTTTCCTCTTCAATTCTCTTGTGCTATTTTTGTTCAGGATTTGAGATTGAGACATAGGCAAGTGGCATGTTAAAACCCCCAGTTTGGGGAGGTGCTTGCCAGTGCTACAGTTTAATCCTCCTTTGCTTACAAATAAAGCTGTAATGGGTGATGCCCTCCTGGAATGAGCCCCTGGCCAGCTCTGCCGTGGTGCAGGCTGTGTTCTGTAGGAGGCCTCTGCGGAATGTCTCTTCAGAAAGTGAGGATTCTGCCCTTACAGAGCCAGCTCCCTTACTTCTCCTCCTTTCCACCCTGAATCTTCTTCCCAAATAGCCAAAACGTGCCTAGTTCAGCTTGCCTAGTCATCTCCAAAGATAGGCCAGTGGCACATGTTTGGGTCCCCCAGGGGTAGCTATTTCCAGGGAATGTGAGTGGGCCACTGGATGATTCATGGGGACCCATCTACATTTATATGTCAACACTCACCCTGTGGGGTGTTCCAGGGATGGAAAGAGAAAAACTCAGCTTCTTTGACTGGGGTTCCTGCTACAAAGACACCTCCTTGTGGATTATTTGTGGGCAAGTCTTTGTGTTGAATATCTACTCTTTGTGTTGAAATGAGCCTAAACTTGAGCCTCCCCAAGTCTCAATGGTGCTTTAATAGGATATATCTGGGGGTGGTTTGGTTTGCTTTTCCCTGCGTTAAGCAGTAAGCAGTCACTCTAGGGTGTCCGGGACCTTCTCTGAAGTACGTGCTGAATAAAATGGAGGTGGCCAGTCTCAGTGGACTTGTACATCATTTCAGGCCTCTTTCCTTGGTGGAGAGAATGTAAAAACTCTCCTGACACCCACTTCCATTCCTTTACACATCCAGGTGTCTGCAGAAATAATAAGACATTGAATAAACCCAGAAGTTTGTTGTACAAGAAGATGATTGTTTCCCAACAAAGATACTTTGTACATGTGAAGGAATCAGTTATTCCTCTTTTTTTTCTTGAAGTAAAACTGTTTTATTTAAGAAATACCAGGAGGGAAGGCGAGGGAGAGAAAGAATAATACATTCAAGAGATAATGCCGCAGGCTTCTCTTAGAAGGAGACAGCCACGGATCCCACGTTAAATAAAAGAAAGAAATCATACATCCCATGCTGAGATGCAGGTGAACACAGATATGGTAATATCTAGAAATCAGTTAGACTTGATATCAGTGGTACCTGTCCTGTACAAGTAAAGCCAGCATTAAGTGACCATAGACATGATGTACTACTAGAAGGATGGCTTGAAAAGACACTGGTGCTTCCAACATCCTCTTGACTTTCCCTTCCTGCAGGTGAAAGATGGGTGTGACCTGATGATGTCTTATCTTGGGGAGACTTTACAGCACTGAATTGTGGCAGATTGCTGTGCACAGTCTCAGTGAGAGGAGTGGACAGCTAACAGGATGGGGGTCCTGCCCAAGTCCCCGACTCCACAGAGAGATGCGATGTGAGCCTCAGATTGTGTTTCATCTGTAAACAATTCAAACCTGTCTCTACCAGACTGGCCACTGATTCAGGGTCCTTTTCAGAGACCACCTTTAGAAGAGTCAGACCACCTTTAGATAGCCATGTTGGCTTACCCTGCCAATTCACATTGTTCCTTCCTGTGGAGAAGTTTCAGTGAGATAGTGAAATTTCCATCATCAGGGATTTTTCAAAGGAAATCAGGAATCTTTCCCACCAGACAAAAGTCCGAGAATATTATAATGTTAAATACATATTGTCACTGTCACTGTCCTCCCATTGTTCATCGATTTTCTCAAGTGGGCCCAGTAACATTGTGAGACTTGTTGTTACTGTTTTTGGCATATCAAATACGTCACAGGTAGCTTACCAGGCTTTGCCATGTGGGCAAGATACTCTCAGTAGCTTGCCCGGCTCTCCAAGAGGGGCGGAGGAATCAAAGGTGAAGGAATCAAACTCAGGTCAGCCTAGCCGGCCACATTCAAGGCAAACGCACTGTGCTATTATGAAATTTTTTTTTAATTAAACAATATAGTTTTAACCCTTGTGTGGGTTGGTTCATTTCCATGAGGCAAGTGGTGGTGTTTGGGAATTGAATTTAGTAAACTGACACATAGTTTCCATTAAACACAGAGTGGGTTGTTCCATGTAGTTTGACATCAAAAGATTTCTGAATTTATTATCTGCCATCTGTCCAAAGAACTATTTTTTCTTTCTCCTCTTTCTTCTAGAAGAGATATAAGTAGGAACTGCTTATCTGAAAGTAATGTGAGGGACTGGAGATATAGTACAGTGGGTAAGGCTCTTGCCTTGCACATGGTGGACCTGGGTTTGACCCCCGGCATCCCATATGGTGCCCTGAGCACTGACAGGAGTAATTCCTGAGTGCAGAGCCTAGAGTAACCCCTGAACATCAATGGATGTAGACCCCAAGCCAAAAAAAAAGGAAAAAAAGAAAGCAACATGAAAGCCAACTTTCATTCTCTTTCACTCTGTATATACTGCCCAGTGATTTGTTCTTTCTTTGAAACACTATAGAGAAGTATAAAACAAATGAAAATTTTGATGGCTAAAACTCACCTCAAGTGATAGAAATAAGTCACTAACACTTTCACCAGAATTTAATGGTGTCAGAAAGAGAGAAGGGATTAGGTGTAATGTCAGGAAGAGTTTCTCTTTGGAGGAAAGAATTACTGAAGCTCCACACAGAGGTAGAGCGTTTCTACCCCTTTGTTTCTGGCTCAATGTTACAGGCTGAATATTTGTGTTCCCCTTACATTCATATGTTGAAACTCTAATCCCAGTGTGATGGTAAAATGTAGGATGCTGGGGAGGTGATCAGGTCAATAGTATGATTAACACCCTTACAAAGTGCCTGGGACATAGCTCATTCATTCGTGGCTATAAGAGGGCATCACAGAGAAGGTAGGTATTTACACTTGGAAAGGCCCTTCACTAGAGACTGTGCATGTGGGCACCCTCATGTAACTTCTGTCTCCATAACTACAAGCAAAAAACTTCTGTAGTCAATGTACAATCATAATAGACCAATCTAAGGCCCCTCTTGAAAGCATGAGTGATGCATTCTGGGGAGAGGCTGAGTGGTCATCCTTATCTGTATTATTTTCAAAATGTTTCTACTGAATTGTTTAAACAAACACTATTTGCAAATAAACAGTGTACTTTGAGTTCTGGAAGAAAACTAGTGTCTCAGAGAAAACAGCATTTCTCACCCAGGAGCCAGAACAGCAGACTCAACACATAAAATGTTCTGTCTATTCATAGCATCTTAAACTATTCAAAAGATGCATTGTTTCTGCTGGGGTTTCCTAAACTAATTTGATTAAATATTTCTTTGTTTTGTCTATTAGGAGTTTTTTCCCACGGGGGAATAGGGGTGGGAAAGAGAATGCAGGTTTTCCCTTAAGGGCAAAGGCAAGGCAAGGCTGTAGAATGAGAATTATTTTCCAGTCAAAGAGTCTTTATCTCCCCTCAAGCACCTCATCATGTGGCACATGAAAGAGTCAGGAAGTTCCAGTGAAAATTGTTGAAATCAAAGAATTCATCTGTATACTTCCTCTTCTGAAAATATATATATATATATACATATAACATTTGTGGGATATTAAGGTCTACCATTTTTCTTCCTAGGTCCAAGCTAGATTTAAAGGAAATTTAAAGTTCAGGTCATTCCCATCCTGGTTGATGCCAGGTTCAGGCAGGGAAGATGTGGTAATGTTTTTTCCACAGGGAACCCTGTTTTTTTTTCTCCCAATTGCAGAACCAAGGCTTTCTCCAAATCTCCCAAATGTCAAAGCTTGAAGGCAACAGACTTACTTTACCCAATTACTTACTTAATTGGGTAAAGTAGAGCTTTGAAATACATGAAGAAAACTTGTTCTAAAACTGGGTCAGGAAATCTTCTGTATGCATTTTATTTTAGGAGTGTCCTGAGGGATACCTTCTTATTTTACTTCAGTTCAACGTCAGTAAACTCTGGCAAATCATCTCACCTGCACTCATCTCCTTATAAGCAAAGTAAGAATAATATCACTTACTTCAATTACTTAGAGCAGTGAGGCAAAGATATAGTAAAAAATTAACCTATGAAAAATGAAAAGTGTGAATACTTTTCTTTCTCCTGAAGTGAGCAATTACTTTTTGCTTCATTTTTTAAAGTAATTTTGCATTAAACATTGCATAAGTTTTTGATAAGCATCATTATAAATCAGCATTTATGTATATATCACATCAGTGTTTTCAGCCTTTTTACTCCTGTGAAACAGTGACACCTGTCCTTCATACTTGTCCACAAACTGGCAGTTGTAATGAAGGCAGCAGACCAAGTGATTTTCAATCTTTCTTTACCTGTGGACCCCTACTGCCCTGTGGACCAGTGGCTGAAAACTGCTATCCTACATAATAGTCATCACTAAAAGACCAATTCCATCTTTTACCAAGCAATTGATGCCTGTGACCTCATCCCCCTTCCCTTATGCCAATTACTTCTTTGATGTTCCAG